ATAATGAAATGAAAATCCACAAAAATCAACTTTGTCTCACACTGTCCGACATTAGCGAGAAAAATCATCAACCTTCTTTCTCAGAATGGTAAATTTTCGCGTGATAAAAGATAGAGAATAGTGTCCTCTTCTATTCAGTAACAATCATTCCCAAAACCGATTTTGAAAAACTTAATAACAAACTTTCCTGACCAATGAGCACGAAGATATTTCCGAACGTTGCCGAATTACCCGTAAGTACACGAATACTTTTGACGATGACTTCTCTGTCTGAAAGATAAAAATAAAGGTGTATCCACAATAGGCAGTCGGTAGTTGGTAGTTGGTAGTCTGCAGTCAGTAGTTGGTCGTTGGCATTCGGCCGCTCGAGAGCTTACCGACCACAATTGGTCGTCACCAAGTCGTGAACTTGCACTCTTATAAACAGCTCTGGCACTTCTTTCCGCTGTTGCCTATTTTACGATTTGAATGACAAATGACAATGAGACATTAATGACTAATTTGACATTTGTGACCCAACCTAGCAATCCTATCATCCTACTCCACTGATTTATTTAACGATGTAGCATGGATGTAGCTTTATTTCCTAGAACAAGTAGTGCTGTATAATTATCTATGGACAATATCCAGGCACATAATACCGAACTCCAGGTATGTGCATTTTTGCTCATTTTGTTGGTGGGGGTTTATTATTTATGGCGTTACGAAAAGTATGGAAGGAGGAGATATTGGAGGCACCCTTCGCTAGTCTGGGAGCAAGGGGAATATAACACCCTATTCAAATCATACAAAAACAGTAGCCATGATAAATTTTCTCGATATACCCGGATGGAAGTATGGCAATTCGATGAAATTCTTCGGCTCCTTAAAAGGAAATTGAGGAAGAGGTCTCGACGAGAACCTGTCTGTCCCGAGGAAAGATTGGCAATGACACTGAAGTAGGTTGAGTAGAAAGCAGTTGAATTTTCTTGAATATTTTCACGTATTCTCTTCTTTCCAGGTTCCTAGCTCATGGTGGAAGTTTAGTATCACTCAGTGAATGCTATCGTAGAGGGCTATCAACAGTACAAAGTGTGGTCAAAGAGACATGTGATGTAATTTGGGAAATATTATCACCTAGTGTTTCCCAAATTCGATCCTCACCATTGGGATCTCAGTAACTATGAGAGATAGAGAAACGGTTAAATTAGCAAAGTTGTAGCAAATTTAATGTTGAATCATAATCTATCGAGAAATCCGGGCTAGCTTCAGTCATTCTTGAGTTATTTGAGAAAAACTGAAATCTTGTATTTTTGTTTTTCTCGAATATCTCGGAACCTATTGATTTTATGAAAATATGACTTCAACATTCTCATAGCACTTTTTAGTGCTCTTTTCAATGGTTTTGTCAGTTTTCCATCAAAATGTCAAATTTCTGAGATATCACCTACAACTTCAATTTTTCTTATGGACGCCATATTGGATTTTGACAGATTTGAAATCAGCATCAAATTTCCGTTCTAGTGATGTATCACACTTACAGTTTTGTTCTATTTGGGGTACTGATTTCCAATTTTTGTTTTTATGTCAAGTAGGCTATGAATTCTGTGTTCTATGTTCTTGCATAAGTTATCGCATGGAATTGGATGTGTACTATTATAGCAGAAAAAAAATTTAATAACAGTTGAATAATACAAATACTGAAAAAAAAATCAATTGAACTGCTCGAAATGGCCCCCATTGTTCTCGATACATTTTAATATTCGCGAGCGAACATGATTCGCTGCTTTTCTCAGATGAACTCTGTTGATGTTCTGGAATGTGTCCATCACCCTATCTCGTAGATCATCAATATCTTGAATTGGATCTTCATAAATTTTATTTTTGGCGTAGCCCCACAGGTAAAAATCGAGAGGCGTACAGTCAGGCGACCTTGGAGGCCATCTCACAGGTCCATGGGTAGTAATTAATTCAGCACCAAATTGATTCTCGAGATATTCTCTAACCAATCGCGTATTGTGCGGTGGGGCACCATCTTGCTGAAACCACATTAACTCATATTCAGCAAGTGGTATCTCGTCTATAAAATTCGAAATTTAATTTCTCAATAGCTCTAAATAACGTGGACCATTCAAGTTATAATCGTAGATTATTGGACCTAGCAGTCTACTGCCTGAAAAAAATACACAATGAGAAACAGTTATTCATGGACCAAAATTCTAGTAAGGTACCAAATATCCCACACCAAACATTGAAACCAAATTTGTTCTGCCACTTTGATTCTCTGATGACATGCGGATTATTTTGTGCCCAGTAATGATGATTATGTTTATTGTGAATTACATTATTATGAAATCTCGTTTCATCGGTCCAGCAGATATTCAATGGAAAGTTCTCGATTCTTTCACACTGGTTATGGAACCAGTGACAAAACTCGAGACGACGTTCATTATCACCAGGTCTTAACCCTTGTACTATCACTGGTTTGAAAGGGTGGTACTTATCATTCACTAAATGTCTGTGGATTGTTGTTTTCGGCACAAGAGTTCTCCGACTAAGCTCTCGAATTGAAATGGTAGGAGTTTGATTGATGATTCCTTCGATATTTGCAATATCTTGTTCATCCAAGCGCAAACCATACCTTGGCCTAGGTGCAATGAAACTTCCATGCTCTTGCAAATTTCTTTGTAATGTTAGAAAAATAGAAGGATGCGGTTGTTGTCTTTCTGGATATAAATGGAAGTATTGTCTAGCTGTTCCTCTGTTATTTCGATTATTTCTGATATAACAATTGTACATATCAAATTTTTCGAGATTTGTGAACGGCATTGTTTGCCCCGAAATAATTGACTTGTATTTTTTCTTGACGTTTACAGAAATGTCACTTGGCTCACCTTTGCTCCAAGCCTACTCTATGAAAGTTGTGCCAGAACACATTATCGTTAATGTTTATAGAGAGCTTAGCGCATAGCCTACTGGACATAAAAACAAACATTGGAAATCAGTACCCCGAATAGAATAAAACTGTAAGTGTGATACATCACTAAAAAGGAAATTTGATGCTGATTTCAAATCTGTGAAAATCCAATATGGCGTCCATAAGAAAAATTGAAGTTGTAGGTGATATCTCAGAAATTTGACATTTTGACGGAAAACTGACAAAACCATTGAAAAGAGCACTAAAAAGTGCTATGAGAATGTTGAAGTCATTTTTTCATAAAATCAATAGGTTCCGAGATATTCGAGAAAAACAAAAATACAAGATATCAGTTTTTCTCAAATAACTCAAGAATGACTGAAGCTAGCCCGGATTTCTCGATAGATTATGATTCAACATTAAATTTGCTACAACTTTGCTAATTTAACCGTTTCTCTATCTCTCATAGTTACTGAGATCCCAATGCAAAATTCGTGTATATGTTAATGTCCCTGATCAAGATGGTTGGAAGAAAATTGAGAGGGATTTCTGGATGTTATGGAATTTTCCCAATTGCTTTGGTGCCCTTGATGGGAAACATATAGACATCATTGCCCCACCCCGAGCCAACTCTCTTACCTTCAATTACCATGAACGCCACAGCCTTGTTTTGATGGCCATGTGTGATGCCAGATACAAATTCTCTTATGTTGATATGGGTGCTTATGGTAAGAAGTGTTTAATGATCAAATATATTCACAAAGTTGCAAATGAATATCTTATTATTTTACCATTCCCATGTATAAACATAGAAACATTATTTTTCAGGTTCGCAAAATGATTCAAGTGTATTTTCATGTTCTGCTTTTGGTCAAGCTCTACTCAATAATGAGTTAAACCTGCCTGAAGAAAAGCCATTTCCATTCAGGGAGAGACCAAGGTTCCCTTTTTGGCTTGTAGCAGACCAAGCATTTCCACTCTCAGAGAGAATCATGAGACCCTATGCTGGAAACCGCCTGACTGAGAAGCAGAGAGTTTTCAACTACAGGTAATTTTTTTTCTACACTAAATGCTAGTGAATTTATGTTATAATTCCTCTAGGTTGTCAAGAGCACGCAGATGTATTGAAAACACGTTTGGTATTCTGGTGGCTCGCTGGCGGCTGCTACGCAATAGAGTGCAAGCCTATCCAGAAACAATTGACAGCTATGTGAAAGCCTGCATTTGCCTTCATAATTTCATAATAACCACTCAGAGTGAAGGAACATCACAGTACTGTCCACCAAATTATGTGGACAGGGAAGACCAAGATGGAAACATAATTCCAGGGACCTGGAGGATGGATGCTGAACAAGGCAATATTGCTGAAGCCCTATTTCAAAATATCACCAGGGTGGGTGCTAACAACCCTGCACTATATGTGTCAAGGATGAGGGATGCCCTAGCAAACTACTTGAGCTCAGATGGTGCAGTAGAATGGCAGATGCATCTCATAAATGCAGGATATATGTGAATTCATTTTGTGTGATGTAAGACATGTAAATATAGTTAGAAAATAAAAAAGTTTATAATTTTTGAACAGATATTTTTTATTTTTGAACTTATATCACAATAGATGAACAAACGTTGAGGTTATTAGCTCAAGGACTCAATATGACAAATGTTCAACAGCATATCAAATATTTGTTAGACAATCATTACTATTCAGTCTTGAAAAGTTCAAGGCATATTATTCCTTGAATAAAACATCACAGAATAAACTTAAAAAAACTAGGATAACACAAACAAAATAAATCCTACTGTAATTAAATAACAAATGAAATAAATTCTTCAATAAAATAAAAAATAAAATAACCTATCAGCTTATACAACTGGAAAAAGTCAGAATGATCATTTAAAAACTATTACTACTCTACAGAATCATCTCCATTCGAATCATCAGATACATCCTTCAATAAGCTGTTGAAATGCAAAATGAGTTTTTGGCGGATTTCTGCTTGCTTTTGTTTAGGAACTTCTTCAAGTTCCATCAACAAATATTCACAAAAAGTTGCATTTGCTGACTTGTTTTGGGGTGCAGCAACAGGTGGTACCATTATAGAATTCAGAGTTTCGAATCCTTTGCTGAGCATTTCCTCAAATTTGTTGAATTTGGCAGCCTTTTTTTGGAGTGTGTATCTGTTGGAGGATTTATTCTTTTTGGTGGAGGATGCTTGATGGTTGCCTCAAATGGTAGGGGTGAAGAACCAACATTCAGTTTTCTGGTAGCCCCAGAAAATCCTGGCTGATCAGAAGATACAAGTTCAGGAGATTGGAGTTTAGGAGATTGTCCCTGAATGAAAATCATCATTCAGTACACAATTTCAATAATCAAATAGGTAATTATTACCTGTGTGAAGTGTTCTCCATTTTGGTTCTCTTTGTCCTCAGTAAGGTTATCATTTTCATTGATAATGATCAACTCATTCCATTGTTCTCTCGGAACTGAGGGTGAGGACACTTTATGTTTTTTTATGGCAGGTGCTGACTTCTTGAAATTGCTTGAGGACCTAAAATCAAATCATGGTTGAATATTTTTGAATGCCTAGGAAAACTAGTTAGCGAAAACTTACTTTCTTGTGTTCTTATCCTTGACTTTACGTAGAAACATGAGAGCATCATATATAGGCTTCTTCCTCAATGAGTCTATTTCTTCTGGACCTGCTCCAGAAGGCAATCTCCTCAAGGCCCTCATAAAATTGTCACGGAGACGCTTCCATGTACTTTTGCACCTCGCTACTCCTGCCCCTGTCATTTCACTTTCATCATCTGTTGAAATTAAAAACATAAGTACCTATCCTGTTGAATAATATAATGAAATTGATAGAAGATTTATTTGGATACCTACTTTCCCAACCCATTGCATTAGAAATCAGACGCCATGTTTCTTCTTTAAACATATTATTCTTGTACTTTGAGTGCTCAGAATCATAAAGCCAAGGCCTACATTCAACGAGCTTGACAAATGTACAATCATCAATATTGCCTTCTTCATCGCTGTCCAAATCCAAAATTTCTTCAACATCGTCCATGATGTAATTGAAATTGAAATTATCCAATCTCAACAGCTATTTATGGACAAGGGGGGGGGCTGAGACATAAATAACATCATTGACATAACATAACCTTCGCGTGAGATACAATTTGATAGTTCTGAGGTTCTGACTTCTGACAGTGCTTCTGACATGAAAATTCAGAAAACTTCGTCATGTACACTTGACAACACTGTGAGTTGAATTGTTCGTGACGTCACGAAATGCCCTTTGATTGGTCAGAATTAAGCAGTCGGCTGTGCAGTTGGCAGTCAAAGATCGATTTCGCGGCTGCCGACTACAGACGACCGACGACAAGCGGCCGACAGCTAACTACCGACTGCAATTGAACACGGATGCATGAAAATGCCCATGGCTCATCTTCGACTACCAACTGCTGACTACCAACTACCAACTACCGACTGCCTATTGTGGATACACCTTTACCCAACTGATGACAGCGAGCTACAGGTGATTTTCGTGCGTTTCGTGAGTTGCTATATCTTTATAGGCGCTGACACAGGGAAGAACATGGCTGATACCAGCATACAGATTCTAAGAAACTATCGTATCGAGACGATAGGAGACTTCGCCGAGGTCGATACGAGAGCAATAATTGATTCTCGTTTTATATCGACTCGATATCGAATAGACGTTCGGGTTATCTCGGATTTTTGAGCCCATGGAATTGAAATTATAACTAGTGGAATACATCTGTCGAAAATTGATTGACATTTGGTGATTTTCAGCTTTATTAATAACAGTTTTCTTATTTAAAAAATTTTTTTTGATTATCGCAATAGTGATGAGATTCAAACTTAAGGATGCACATTGGGAATTGCTGGCAGAATGCATGGAAGAAAATCCAGTTATTGCCACAGGGAAATTTGTGGGGCCAAATGGGAAGGCCTATTATAAGAAGTTGTGGACTCTCACAACGAACAAACTCAATTCATTAGGATTGGGCAGTCGAACGACTGAGAAGTGGCAGAAGGTATGTATTGAATCATTGATATACAATACCAGAATTTAGAAATAGTTTCAGCTCTCCTTTCAGCATACTTGAATTTGTTTCTTTTTCAGACATGGACTGATTATAAATATAATTTGAAGAAAAAAGCAGGGACAGTGAGGAAAAATTTAAACAAAACTGGTGGTGGACCCCAAGACGAACCGAATTTAACAGAATTGGAGCTGAAATTTTTAGATATATTGGGTGAGCACTTCACTGGACTGGATTCAGAAGAATATGGTTTACCTCTGCAAAAAGCTGTGGATTATGAGGTGGAAGACCACCCACTGAGCAAGGAACATCCCGGGGATGTTTGGTAACGTTAATTTCTTGTACCTTTGGTGACCTTTTTGAGATTACATCTTTTATAAGTGATAATAACATATTTCTGGGACGTTTCAATTCGTCCCTTATTTGGGCTGACTCTGCTACATCCCCAGATACACGTCGCTGTTTCGTAACAGTGAACTGACCTATGCACGTCTATGTGATCTTATTTGAGTCAATATTCCAACGCCTTCTCCAAAGCACAGTTTCAGTTGAGTCACTCGCCTGAATGTGCCGATCTCCCTACCCCTTGCCTCTCGACCCGCTCAGGGAGCCGGGGCCATCATTCGGTTCCCTGGCGTATACATACACAGAGAAAAAACTTTAATAATGGTTATTAAACATTTAATAGTCACAGTTAAAAACTTGAATACTATATGGGACAGATATACAGTATGATAGTGGTAGATAAAATATTTTACCTGAATTGGTATACCTGCAACAGACACTCAATTATATAGTGCATTGATCGTTAATGAATGAATATATTTAGAATCAACTCAGGATTATTGAAGTGTTGAATAACATTGATTAGACAGTTTAATTACCATTGAACATTAAGTAATTCCCTTTGAAACATTGCTATATTATCTTACAGACTTCTTCACCTGTCGTAGGTTCACACTTCGATGATAGTTATTCAATAGTTTAATAGATTTGCAATACTATATAGTTGCCACAGGTGAAAAAGCATGCTGTTACAGAAAAATAGGTGATATTCTCTGAGATATATCTAACTGATGTTAGGTACATCCTTTAATTACTACCACTGAAGAATACAATTATTCCAGAAACATTATTAAGTTGTCCTCGGATCATAAATTACTCGTCTCTGGAACATAATTTAGTTATCTCAGATGTGCAATTCAATTGAAATATTGGGGATGTTCAATATGTGCATACCTCTGAACATATTTTCAAGGTATCACACAATGGGGATGGTGATTCTATAGAAGAGAAAAAACATTGTACAAAATATAGGTACATTACATAATATATTCTAGTCATTTGTAATTTCAGTACAAACTACATAAATAAATGAACTTGAAATAATTATTTTAAATATACAATAGTTGTCGAACTGACTCATATACAAATATATTTCAGACGTTGATGGACTATCTGCGGGCCGCGGGGGTACTAGGTCCTCTTGAATTCAGATCAAGTGGCATCAAGTTCTAATCAGGTACATCATTACCATCAGCACCCTGAAATATGAAAATTTCTCTATATAATGTGTTAAATTTCTTCTTTTTTTTCTTGAAAATTCAAACAAATATTTCAAGAGGTTCATTGAGAGAATAAACTCTAAACAGGTAGCGAACGTCCCGTAAGCCCATCCAAGTAAGGCCATTCTTTATAGAACTTCACTTTGACTCAAATCCAGAGACACCGAATAAGAAAAATCAAGATCCGTTTCCTGAATTTTTTTTCCGTGTACCTACTATCAGAAATAAGATTTTTTTGCAAACATCCACAGTAGAGAGTCTTTTTATTTTGATATTTCCCAATTTATTTCTCGGCTTTTGTGAAATATAACCATAAAAACTCCTCGGTTTTCGAAACAATTCAAAGTACTTAACAAGTGACCTCCTACTGAAATTTCGACACCAAAGAGCACACTCGATAAAAATATTGTGAGGTCACAACCAAAATAGGAGATATTTTCAAAATATAACCTCTTCAAATGAAAAATAAATGGCAAGAACCACGAATAAAGCGGACATATAATATCAGATTTAACAATCAATTGCAAATGATCAACCAACATAAGGAACTAGAGGGCTTAGAATCATTTTCGGAAGGAGAAAAACATATCACTAAAACACGTTTGTGCCCAAAGAGATTTTTTCATGCACAGAGAAAGAGGAATGGTATATTACTCACCAAGAAAGAAAGAAGAGTTTTCGTAAACTTCGCCAAACCCTGCTGTTTCAAAGTGTCGTCGATGAACTGCTTATGCTGCTTCTATTTTTCAACTCTCGACTTGGGGCTAGTCGCTCCATAGTGATAATGTCACTGGGAGAAATGCTTTTGGAATAGTCACAATCACTTAACTTACATGCACAACACAAATGTTCCAGAATAGAAAAAGGCACGCATAAGTGTTCGCAAACACCAAAGGTACATATTCTTAGTACAGATACATCAGACTGAATGAAGTGCAGAAGAGTTGCGCAGTCAGCTCGTGGCGTAATCGTGGGTATTCGAAACTAGCCGAATGATGACGAAACAGAGAAATCAAGTGAACTGTCACCTGCTGTTATTAAACTGGTAATAATGGCAGAATTATTCCGTTCACTCATAGAAAACAAGGATTGAGGGACAATTATATTAATGTTAGGTGGATTGTTGTATACTGAGTATTAAACACATCGATAAAAATTGATCAAGCACAAGAAAGATGGCCTGTTCCAGGAGCATAGTTAACCTGCCACTGGAAGTCGATATCAGAAAAAAAATTTCACCTATTGTAATGGTACAAAAGTTCATTAATATATTTGTGGGTATTAAATTTTACTCAAGTGTACTTGTGTACCTGGACCGTTTTTCTCTGTGTAGTGGCTCTCGCTTTTGATACGTACGGTTGTCCGCTATTTTTATTGGGTGCGTCAGAAAAGTGTTTCATTTGGTTGCGGCGATAATGCCTCAATGCCTGTCGACATTTTGAATTCAAACACTCTCTCTAACTTTGGAGCCTTTATGGGAACTAAAAAACAAATCTCTTATTTGAAAGAAATGAATGATTCATCCAAAGATTTACGTGTAGAAAATATAGATGGCGAAAATGTAACCAAACAGTTGAAATTCATTATCGGTTGACGATTGACTATTAATTCAATTTTCATTTTATTCAACAAATTATAGGCCAAAGGATATAGATACATGTTCACTCGAAATCTCAACCAAGATTGTTTGGAAAATATTTTCGGACAAATTAGGAACTGTTGTGGAAATGTTGAGAATCCAACTCCCATACAATTCTGTCGTTCGTTCAAGAAAATGTTTGCTTTGAAATATTTTGATCAAACGGACGGTGCAAATTGAACGGGAGATATTAATGAAGTCTTATTGAATATCGCTTCAAACAACATCGTTGAAAATGTAAATCAAAATCTAATAGCTAAACCTACATACACTCCACTTAGAGTCTATACAACGGATTATCGAAATCTCCAAAGTTAGTCTATGCATGTAACTGGCTATTTCTTGAGGAAATGTCTTTTACAACATTCATGTAGAATTAGGAGCAATTTTCATAAACTCAATAATTTAAGTGACAGGGAAACCGTTTTTTGCAACCCCCCATCTCATAGTAACACAACATCGGGAGGTTTAGTTGTGCCCTTCAGAAATATCGTTGTATTTGTTGAAGCATTGGAGAATATTTTTATTCGTGAATTTGAGGAACTGGTTCTTCAAGGAAATATTGGAAGCACACTGAAAAAACACTTCGCAAAAATAACTTTCAGTCACCCGTGTGAAAACATTTCCTTTAGACTAGTTCATTGATTTATATTGCAGAGTCCGAATTTATTTCACATTGAAATTTGCTAATCGAAGCATAAAAACCGGAAGAGTATCCAAAGTGAATACAATACTCTCAATACTGAAGCATTTGTAATTATTCCTTATAGAATATGTAGTCAATTATCAGTTGTAATATCCCTGGGACATTGATAATAGACGAGATAATTTTATGACCATCGAAAGCTCGTTTCTTGGTAACAGCTCGAAGCGAAGGCTGAGGGCTGTTATCAAGCAACGAGCTTGATAAATTTTTCATAAAATTATGAGGCAT